ATTGAATACATCCAGGACAAGGGTGTTCTGATGAATGAGTGGCACTTTTTCTTTTAACAAAAATAAATAAATAAATAAATTTTAAAAAGAAAAATAAAAAAGATCAAATGAGAAACAAATACGTTCGTGGGAAGTTAGAAGTAGCACTTATTAAGAATAAGATGGATGAAGAAGTTGTTTGAGATGGTCTGCCATCTGTAACGTAGACCAAGTAATCAATTCGTACCAAGAAATGATTTAATCCATCCTAAAGGTACTGAAAGAACAAGAAACTTGAGTTGAGGCTGTAGAGAAAATATGATTGCCTTGAATTTTACTGAAAATATGGCTTTATAAAGAGATAAAAAAAAAAAAAAATGGACTGACATAAGCATTCAAGAAAAGAGAATATATATTACACATGAAGTTTGACATGTGTGCATGGTGCATTGAAAAAGAGAGAGATAGGGGAAGGTTTGTTGAAGCATTGTACATGAGAAAATTGGGTGTCACTAATTTAACAATCAGATATCTGAAAGAAAACTATAAGATATGCAAACTTCAAAGTCTCCAGGACCTACATTTTTTTTCCCGTAAATAAGATAGGTTTTCTAGAATTTTCTGTGAAATCAAAATTTAAAGCCTAACGAGGACCCCATATCAAAATTTCTGAAAGTTTTGTATGATTCCCAGCAAAATGGCCATGATAATTTATCTATCATCCCAGTTACGCCTTGATAATTGTCCCATCTCAACCAATGAAGTCATTACCCTGTGTCGTTCCATTAATCGAGGGTGCCAGGAGTGGTTGACAATAACGACTTAATCTTTGGCATTATTTGCACAAAATGGCAACTCTCAGAATTCAAACCCGCGTTTTCACACTGGATTGCCTGTGCATTTACCAATACAGCAAGCAAAGTCCCTCATCTCAACCAATGATGTGGTGGATTAAATCTGAAGTGGGAACAAGGTGTACTTAATATTCCAGTTACAAGATACATAAAAAGTGCATATCATCAAATATATATAAATTTGGTACAACATCAATGGTTAGTTATACATAGTGATTAGTCAGCAAAATGAATTACACAGAAGATAAGGAAACAGGATGTTCATAAATGTTTGTAAGAAGAGTTCAAACATCAAAAAATTTCAGCAATACAGAAGAAACAACCTGAGCAAGAATGATTGGCCCGCCTTGTGATGCAAAGAGATTCTCCTCCTTCATTAAATTAACAATTTTTGCAAGAAAACGTTGCATTTCTGTCTGCACTGACAGTAATACAAACTTTAAAGCAATGTAGGATTTGCATATTTATGTCTCAACTTAAATAAAATGTTCTCAACGTACAAGTTATGTAGAAAAATATGGAAAAGTAATAGTTTATTTATAAATAAATTCTCCTGAACAAACATAACTATTGTGTACCTGGAAAAGCTCGTTTGTTGTCCTAAACTGGATTCCAGGAATGAAGTGTAACCAAATAGGGAATCCCCTGTTCGAAAAGGAAAGAGGAATTGTAAAGGCAAAAACATAAGACCTTAAGAAATTTCGCATGCTAAATTGGAGAAATCTAATCTGCAATTTTGGAGCAAATCACTGTAATCAACTTAGCAACTATAATAATTTTTTCCAGCTGCTGTGGATAAAGCAGAGTGGTTATCCACAGAGTGGCCTTAATTTTTAGGACCAGTAATGGTCTAATGGATACACAGAAACAAACCACATGTTATTTATTTATGATTTAATATGTAAACAAGTCATAAAACTGGCAGATATGCATTTTCAGATATTATCAAGAAGCCAAATGCTTTAACAGAAGAAACCTTACAAACCAAAGAAATAAATGAGGTGTTATATGCCACATGACAAGAAGAGTGAATAAAGAGAAACAGACCCATAATTCCATTCAGCACAAGCATATGGGCCAATCCTGAGATGCACAAAAAGGCCAGCTTCCTGCACTGTCTTCACAAACCTAACCAGGTCAAACCTGCCTTCAAAGTAGTACTACAATATTTCGAAAGAAAACATCAGTAATGATAATGATGACGACGACGACAATGATAAAACAGTCAAAATGCTTCAATTAGCACATATGTGATAGCATTGCTAGTCAATTAGGCAGTTGATTCAATGTGAACTTCATACATCATATGGAAGTAACATTAGCAATTTGTTGCGCAAGGAATAACGAAGAGAAATTTATGGCAAGAAAAATAATACTGAAACATGAACATATCCAAAAAGAAGAAAAAGGATACCATCAATTATAGAAAATGACTTATTCCAAAAGCATAACATTAAAAATGCAGTTACTAAAATATCCTGTAATAGCATACAACCATATAAAATAAATTCATAGAATTTAATTTACTATTTCACTCTAAACTTAAGTGCAGGCAAACATTCATTAACCTCTATTCTGAAACAAAACACAAGAAGAACTTGAACTTTTGTCGACATCACTATAGAATCACCCAACTTACTGAAGGATGGCCTAATGGTACTTCCACGCCTTCCAAAGTAGGAAGGTTGAGGGTTCAAGTCCCCATAGGGACAAGTGAGTGTATGAGTTTGTTTCTTGTCAAGGTAAAAGAATCACCCAACTTGATGACGGCTTCATTTCACAACAGGAACTCACAAGCCCATCCATCCTTGACAACGCACCCACGAAATCTACTAAGAACTATTTTGGACAGTAATAACAATAACAACAATCATCAAATAGAAACATGGCTAACTTTATACCTCTCCCTTCACAGGCTCATGATAGTTCCAGAAAACATAAGTCTCAATCACGTCCAATCCCCCTTCCTTGGATTTCCTAATAAGTTCAGGCCACACCTGAAATTCGTCACAACAATATCAAGCTACATTATCATATTACTCATCATAAGTCTCAAAAAACTTCATCATCATTTGTTGTACTTAGTATATGAATTATGAAATTAAACCCACTTCAGGTGTGCTTCGAGGATAATGTATAGAACCGGACTGCAAAATTCGCCTCTTTCCATCAATAACCAGTGCTCTGTGATCATATGTCACTTGAGTAGAAAGCCCTCTTTCCCAAAAATAACCTTCAAAAACCAAAATTGCCAATAAGAACACAGCCAATATGTCCTTTCTTCCCATAATTCAATTCAGAAAACCAATTTGCATGAAATGGACATAAATGAACAGATTTTCAGAAGTCAAAAACACCAGCAACAATTTATTTCTTTCTTTTTTTATACTCCTATTATCCTATATCTTGTATATATACATATATATGTGTGTGTGTTTGTGTTTGTTTTTATATATATAGAAGAATTGCAAAAGACACAAAGTCTTGAACAATCAATTGTTTCATATGGAATTTTAAACGCAAATATAACATACCCAAGAGGCCAATGGGACCACATTAACAAAGCTTGGTTTCTTGATGAGACGCACTGATAATTCCTCCAGATGCTTTTCAAGAGATGAAGACAAATACAAGCTGCTTCAGTTTATATATGAATTATTATCCTGCACTATCTGCAAAGCTGCTTTATGGTAATACTGAAAAAGACAATTTTTTCTCTCCATTCTATACCCTTCATGTTTTAATCCAACAATTGATAAATAATCCCTACTCGTTATAGTGGGTAACATTTGGATCTAGCTAATTATAAAACTTTCTTTGTTTTTATTTCATTAATTTCCTGGCAAATTTCACATATATTTAAATTAGGGTTACACACCTAATTTGTTTTTTTTTGGAGATTTTGAATCTTCACCATTCACTTTATTTATTTATTTATTTTTCCTTGTATTTTTGTTTGTTGAAAAAAAAAAAAAAAAAAAAAAAAAAAAAAAAAAAAAAATACTACTCTCCTATTTCTCAACACTGTACTCGAAGCTCTTACAAAGAGAGAGATTGTGATACTTCATAGACTAAAGTAGATAAAGATGGCAACAAATATTTGATGAGGTAACTCTTTTCATAGAACTTAATATTTCTATTTGTTATCACTATTTCTTGTACGAATCAGATGAATAGTGATTTTTAAATTTTTTTTTTTTTAATATGAAAGAATTGACATAGATGTGATGTTTCTTAATGTTATTTAACAATTTTGTGTGGGAATTCTTGGATAGGATTAAGTGGTCGAAGATAATGTCTTATAAAGTGAATATAATTGGTTTAAATTTCCTCCACGGGAAATTATTTACTATTTTTTATTTTATTTTTTATAATACTTAATGAACACATGCATATAAGTTCCACCAAATCATAAATTTTCCAAGAGTTCATTCATCCTGCTACCACTTTAAGTTTAGCACACTTAACTTCGGAGTTTTGATGGGTTTACGAATATCACAACTTAAAACACGTGCCATAGAAGAGTGTATAACCTATGTATAGCACTTCACCTATCCCAGATGATGTGGGATCATGACATCCTATAACCTGCTCGCCCATGCCATACCCGTCCACAAATATCGTCACAACTTAACTCGAAAACACCAGAGTGACTTGACGTGAATAATTTGTGTGCGAGTTTTTGATCAGTTGAAATGAAAATGCTCCAGAGTTATACTAAAATGCTCTGGGAAGTTCGTGCCCTTCCAAGCATAACAAAACAAATGCATTAATTTGTATACGATCATGTCACCTCACATTTTGGAGGTGGGGGAATTGGAATCCCTTTGGAACACCCCAAATGGATAAATGAAGTTAAAAATTAAAATACTATGACACATGTTTCGTTCAATACAAATAATCATAAAGGTGGTTGGATGACAGTAGTGAAAAATGTCTAAGGTTGGAGTGTGAACATTGGATTTAGAAGTTTAAGTGGGAGATCCATCTAAGAGTTCATAATTCCCACAGAAAAAGTTAGTAGCATTGCATTGGCCTCCTAGTTGACTTTAAAGCTTGTATTCGGACTCAAAAGTAGCTTCATATACTAAATCTGAAATCTGAATACATAATAATTACTGTAATAAATAGTAAATATATACACACACACACACACACAAACATATATATAACACAATAAAGTGCTGGTGTGAATAGTAGCAGGTTCAAAAGTACAACTCTCTGCTCCCAATCTTTACACAAGACAGCGAGAGCTCATCTAACCTTACAGTAGTACTTTAGAATCTTTGTGAGAGAACAAACGCACTTAAAACTTATAGATGAGTTAAATGTAAATTTGAAGGTCCAAGTAGCATGTGAGTGTATGCTAATGAGTACCTACAATGATGTAGTGTTGGCCTTCCCCACAATTTCCAGCAGATAAAAGTACCTGCATCAAGAGGAGTATTTTTCAATACATTTCAAGGACCGTTCTATTTTCTTTAATTTTTTTTTATCATCAATCGTCTTCTCCTCCATGCTGAACTCAGGAACAGGTGTTCATTCAACTAGAGATCAAATTTGATATTGTACAATACAAAAAGCCCCCAAAACTAAGCAAAATCAAATTCACTTCCAAGAAGTTTATCCCTAATCAATGGTGCAATCTTAAACTTGGAAGGCATCTTAGGACATCAATTTTACCATATTTTATCATTTGAAGTTTTTGAAAGAGTAAGCAGTGCTAGCTGGCTTAGTAAGCTTAGTTCAGCTAACACCACAAATAGCATCACAGTTCACAAACTTTTCGAAAGATAACAGTACGCTACAATCACATCACATCACGCTGAATTCTTCATTTAGTGTAGTTCAAGCACTACAGAGAGCTTCAATGGCCAAGCTTTTCGGCATTCCGGGACATGGGTCCCCAAGGTTCTTTGTAGAGATGGGGATCGAACAACGTTGCTGACCAAGGCAAGCCTGCAGTGTCATTCAGACATGTCAATTAGTCCTAGTATATTGACAAGAGATCACAAGGAGAAAAATGATCTAGAAATTCAAAAATGAATAGAAAAATTTATATTGAGCAAGCAGGTTCATGTTCTTGCTTGCCAATGGGAAAAAAGAAAACAAAAGAATTTCTTTTGAGGAAAAAAAAATGCTATTGTCTCCAACTGAGTTTTAAAAAAACATACAAATATGTCTGTAATAAGATTTTCAAATGTTTAAATTCTATAAACATATTATGTAGTCTCCGGCTACAATCAGCAAGACCTCCTAAGTTTCAGACAGCAGTTTGGTACAGAAGCATGATCATGTGTAACCAAAATGGAAGACCTACTTGGAAATCTTATTCCGTTAGAACAAATTTTTTGAAACCATCTTTTATTTAGAGCAATGGCAGGATCTATGACCTCATAAAATGGAAATTAGTTCTTCCATTTCTGCTATCATAAGACGGTAACTTTTCTTTGAATTCAGATTATTGTTGCGGAGTTGAGCATTTCATATTCCAACCCACTGATGCCATAATGATATTGACCACGGTGTCGCATGTGCAATTTTTATCTCTTCAAAGCAAAAAAACGTGCTTTAGATGCTATATATAACTGAATAAGCAAATGCAGAGTGATAGGAGTTCAGGGGTGAAAATATTAGACTTAGTTGAAGGCTTGGGGTACAAAGGTAACATTAGAATCACTTCTCCAGTTCTCCAATTCACAATTGTACCCTTGCCTACGCCTGCCTGATGGCAATGAAGATGAGAACTTGGAATAAATTTCATTTGGAAAGTTTTAAAGGATACCCAAATCAAGCGAGCTGGGGCAAAGATTCTGACACAACCTCAAAATAGAGGTCTAGAACCCGCATTCAAACACTAGAATGTATGAACAAGGCTTTAACAAGTAAGGATTGAATTTTATGGAAGAGTGGCCGAGAAAATAGGGTGCAAAGATATTGATTTTAGATGGCTGGGAGGGTTAAAAGCAAGAACAGTGTGCTGCTTCTGGTTACCTGACAAACCTAGGCTGAGCTAAGACCCAAAGGACAAACCTGGTTTTTGCTAAGAAATAGGGGCCGAATAAGCTTGTCTACACCCCATATACGAGTGAAAGTGCCTGGTTTTGCATTGAATATAAGCAAGGAAAAGATCTCCATCACCTGTTGAACAATAGATAACACACTGGTGTGACAACTCCCTGGTCTGAATGTGCCACAATCTCCTTCAGGAGTTCCAAAGCTTGCGAAGTTAATTGACGTGATGTGCCACCCTTGTTCGCAGGTCAGTCGAATTTCTGGGCTTTGAGACATGAAATCCAAGTTTGATTTCCAAGAATCAGCTGGTGGAGGATCAGCCTCCAACACATGTGCACATACCTCTTGCCCAGTTCGTGTTGACACAGAAATTTTTGAAGGGTCGCCACCTATCTCTTCATGGAGAACCAGTAGGTTCTCACCGGAATTTACCCAAGTGCATGGGATGTGATACCTGAATATAATTAACCTCTTTGCAATTAGTGGTAAAATGCGTACATAATTAGGTGTAGCAGAAACAAAATGAAGTACATATGAAAGGAATCATTTGCAAACCACTAGGAAATGAACAAAAGAAATATTAATTTTCATTTGAATATTCTTTTTGCTGGTTCTATGGTTGGTTAAAAAAGGATTTTTTTCCTAGACAAAAATCATTTAATTTTTTTATTGTTTATGGAATGACTCTTCCTCTCTCTTTTATATGATTAACTTGGTGATAGAAGGAAACAAAATTGCCCTTGAAATGGCACCATAATTGTTTTAGGCATCCTAGGCCCCTCAAAAGCCTAGACTCATCAACACTCAACTTAAGCGCCTCAACCTACTACAGGTAGCCCCTTCAGACTCAAGATCACAAAACCCTCAAATGTGCACTTTACAATAGGCTCATTTTTTTAGACATACCTCTAGTGTTTAACCATTCAATCATATCTTTTATTTTTTATTTATTTATTTATTTTTTTTTTGTAGTGGCCGAATTCTCTTTTACCATTTTTTCCTATCTTTTCTTTTATGTAGTGGCCATTGACTGCATGTTCTATATCACATCACCATCCTACTCAATATATCATATTGTTTAAACTAACCGATTTTTGGTTTTGAGATTCATGAGCGTAAGCGTATGGTATAGCATTTTACTCTTACACATTTGCAATGTATTTGATCAAGTTAATGTCCATGTATATTGAAAAGATATATGCACATTGATTTAGCTAATGCCTTCATTGATGTTAATTAGTTTGTTTTGTGTGTGTGGGTGTATATATTTTATTCATAACTATAATGGGCCTTAATTTGCTATGCTCACACCATATATCATGCTTTGCGCTTGGGCTAGGAGCCCTTGGCGCACTTTGAGCCATAATAACTGTGAGTGCATGGAATAGAAAATGGAATAAATTATGTTAAGTTGATGCTGTATGAAAAAAGCGAAAAAGAAAAGAAAAAAAGAAAAAAAGAAAAAAGAAAAGAAACAACATTCAAGTAGTTGAATGATAAAGAACATAACAAGCCTTCTAAAAATTAGTATAATAATTATTGAAAAAATGTGTGATTAGCAATGTTCATGAAACAAAATAGGGTGAATGGTGTTTTCACACTTACAATGCCTGAGAAGGTTGACCACATTTCTTTTGACATTTAAATGGAATATACGTTCCCCTGTAATCACAATTCTCAGTGCAACCAGTTGATGGTGAGAGATAGGCAGGCCAATATCGTCCTATACTCTGCCCATTAACCCATGCTTGCCCCTTCCCCATGCTAGAAAGATTCAGAGACAAGGGACCCTTCCCTTCAGGAGCAAGGAATAGACCCTGAAGATGAGAAATAGAACATCAAACCAAGCATACTTAAGAGGTAACTACTTTATATTCTTCTTTCTCCTTCTTTTGATCTATTCCTCTGTGTAGTTACTAACAAAACTGGTCCAAGCTATAAGCAAGTGAAACAAAAGAGGTGGAAAGCCCTGATATACATTTCACATCAAGCACAATCCAGTGGTTCAGAATAGAGGTGCATGCGATTCATTGCATAGCGGAGCAGAGAACTTAAGTTAGAAAATTATTACTACCTCACAAGACCAAGGTGGGACTATAAACTTTCAAGTTCCAACTTAGATACAAGAGTGACTGTTCCACCAGGAATTGCTCGGGTTGATATATCTTATTTTCCAGTAAGCGTCGTTAACTGCCTAAATAGAAACATTTGACTAGTAGAACTCTTTTCCCACTTAATAAATATTATATTTAATTTTCAAATTTTAGTTATAACTAAAGAAAATGAGAGGTATAAGCATCACGATCCATTAAATACTTAGAATTAAATTGCTATCTTACAAAACCTAATTTATTCAAATTATACTTCTTCACATTTTAAGGAATTTCAAGTACAGACATAAAAAATCAAGGCATGAAGTATGTCTTCTAGCACAGTTAGAAACCTGCTCAAGTAATTTTTATGCCATAGAAGTAGCAGGAGCAGTTTTGGCTGCTTTTTTAGTTGGATACTACAAAAAGAGTGTAAACAAGCAAGTAACTTTTTACAGCAATGTTTCTATAATGAAGTCCAAAGGTTGTCGACTAATAAGTGTGTTCAAATTTCAACATCTGTGGAGCACCAATGCTTGGTCTTTGAAAATGGAAGAAGGTCAAAACAACAACTAGGTCAATGTCTAATCATGTGTTTCAAGACAACATGACACTGATGGTACCAAGTTTTTTAATCCCTTCAATTTGTACCATAACAAATAACAAAGATGTGGATGTGTTTTGGTGGCAGGGCTCCCAGCTATCTATGCTGGATCAGTGGTACACACGATACAGAGAGTTTATAAAATGTGCAGCCAATGAAAAAGCAATGCATTCTTTGAATTTCATTCCCCATTATAGAACCATTACAAGAACTAAATCCACATACCTTGTACCATATCAAGGTCTGATTAACTGGTATGGTGCTCCCTTGAGTCCATAGAGGACTATTTGCTTGATTAATTTTATCAAGTCCAAGGAATTCCCCTTCAAGTCCCACCTGGAAAAAAGGAAATATCCTAAGCCGCAATATAATTTTGAGATTGTAATGGTGAACATACGAAACATATTGCCCCTCTCTCCCACCACCCCAACCCATTCTGGGGGGGGGGGGGAGGGACCCACTCTAGTCTGTTATCATCATGCAATCCAGATCGTTACTCTCTTTTGGTAGGTCCCTTAAGCTGTACCTTGCAAGATAAGGAAATTGAATAAAATACTCCCAAAGTCCATGATCAAGCAGGAAGAAATGCATCGCCTGACTTATAACAGGCAAGAGGCACATTACCTACTTTGGATGGAGGTTGGTCCCAGTACTTGATCAGAAAAATTCATTTCCACTCATCATAAGTTACCTTAATAGCTTTTCGTGAAGTAGTTTAATTGAATACCCCATTTTTTACAATGTGTAGCATATATTTGACGAAATGAACTAAAATCTTCTAACGGATCTGAAAAGCCATTTTTATACTGTTCTATTTATTTAACCCAGCGCAATCAAAACCAGCCCGGTCAGCCTAGTCAAACAGGAAATCCTCCAAACTGGAACATTGACTAGACGGGGTATGCATTTTGACCATTTAAAGATACAAACTGGATAAGGCCATGTAATTCATCTGTATTATGTGATGTTCTACCAAACTGGGCTGGTTTGAATCCTTCCCTTAAAATGTTGAGGTTAAGAAAATTTGAGGACCAATAGAGTCATTTCCAAGACCTAATGAATAGGCTCAAGGAATATACCATTAGCAAACTGCACCTCCTTGTTAACGAGTTGAGTATAGCTTATATGTTTATCACATTGAATCCTCATTGAACTGTGGAATATGGACCATCACTATGAACCCAAGATATTTTGAGAGAGACAGAGAGACAAGCGGACGGAAAACAAAGATTAAATGGGGAGCTGCACAAAAAGTTAAAATAAAAGAAAATACAGGGGCAATATTCCATGTGTAATTGTAAATTTTACACAATAATAATGGGGAGCTTCACAAAAAGAAAATAAATAGGCAATATTCCATTTATACATAAAAAAAAACTTGTGTGCAAGTACAACAATACATATACAAATGGAAATAAAGCCTTTTAAGTGTTCATAAAGGATTTCTTGACTACACTAGTGTTCCTTCTAATGATAATAAAAATATTTGTATATAGACAAATTTGTAATTATATAACACAGTTTTATTTATATATGCAAAATAATAATAAAATATTAGTAAACATATATATACACACACACACACACACACACACACACAAGCACACACACATTATATCTATTAATTGATACATTGTACATTAGAATGTTGAAATCTTGATTTTTCTGGACCATTCTCCTTATTAATATGATAAAATATTAATTATTACATAATTTCTGCATATATTTAATAACTTACGTAATTATTTATCTTTAAAATCAATTAAAAAATACTAAGTTGAACCAACTGATCCAGTGGTTGAACCAGTGACTCATTACCTGGTCACCTGACCAGGTTGATGCCTGAGGTCAATCTGACAACTACGACCTCACCTTCATATAATCAAAATATAGTTTTGGCATAACCTCTACCACTGTAAGTAGAGAACAAATATTTCTTAAAATTTCAACAAAGTACTACTTGTCATTATTTTTCTGTTCTGGTTGAATTTAATTCACAATTTCAGTTTGTAATCTCCACAACTGGATCAAACTTACAAAGTGTGAGCACATATCAGCTGTCTATTAATGGAAGTTCAACCGTCACGATTATATCAAGCATTTTAAGGTCAGGAACCATGTCCAGGAGTTTTCATCAAATGATTGGTGTTAACAAACAAAGAGATGTCAATCTTTTACTTCCAGATGGTAGATTATCATTTCGTTTTCAGATATTCATGGGCAAGGAATAAGCATGACCAATTAATGGATCAATTTTAACATTGTGATACCATATTTTGGATCAGTTCCAACATTTGAGGATTATATCTAGATTTACAATACATCTGATTGCAAATTAATTAGAACAGAGTATAGCCTAAAACCTGATAGGTCCATTCTGTAGAAGAAAGATTCTCCTTCGCATTCTTCATCAGATCACCAAGAATGACAGAAAAAATTCCTGCCCCAGCGATATCGTACCATGGGCCATAATTCTGGAGAAATTCAAATTAGACATAAGAAACATATAATTGATGCCGATGCAAGATAAATCCTGAAATAGAGATCTAAAGTGCATACTAAAAATAATTACTCCATTTTTCAGGTCATGCAGCTTAAAAGGAAGAGATATTATAAAACAATTCTTTCTTGGGCAAGAAAAATGTTCATAATTAAAAATCAGTGAAGAAGATTTTTCATGCTATGATGTATAAGCTCTCCCTCTCCACTGCTGAGTAGACACATTTCTTGAAATTACATCTATAATCAGAGAGAAATATTCCAGTCCTACAGTCGTGAGGAACAGCTTATGGGGGCACTGTTATTTTGGCTTTTTACAGCCTTCTCCAAACTTTATGCAAGGGAAGGCATACCAGTACCCTCCCAGACATAGCGGAACCAGCTTTGAGTAATGACTTCTTTAGTTACATTAGGTAGTAGTTAAATGCGTGCATCTCAAAAGCATATCTTCATTCATTACTAAAACGTTTGGTCCATGTTTCATTGTTTAATAGAGGATAATGAGTGCTTCAATCAGCCATTCAGCATAAAAGATATAATTCCTGGTTAGTCTATAAAAGCATTTGATCAAAAAGTAAACCAATACCACTGGGCTGTTAGCCCAGATGGTATAACCTCTCCTTTCTCATAGGGGAGGTGAGGGGTTCGAGCCCATAGTGGGCATTTGTGGGTGTGTGAGTATTTACCTAACCAAAAAAAAAAAAAGTAAAGCCCATGCGTTAAAATCTAAATTGTTTTCACACTTGTTAGTTGTTGGGAATGGAGAAAGGAGTGGAACTTGAGGATTTTTTGTGGATTAAGTAGCATTTCTAGAGGAAAAAAGTAAAGAGAAAGAGTTATTATTCTCGAGAGTGTAAGATGCATCTTCAAATAAACAAAAATGGGTGAGGTCACTCCATTCTGCATAAATGAAACACTTTCCTCATAGTCATAGAAAGATGAGGGAGGGCGCTTGATTTTCTTTCCTTTTGGAGTAATCAATAGGACACATTGCCACCTTATATGCAAATAAAACAACTTTATCCAATCCATCAAAAAAAAAGAAAACACACACGCACACTCACGCACACCAGTTTTTAACAAAGAATGCTGGATTTTGAAAACAGGAAAGCACAGCGCACAAAGTGCATGTGCAAGTGCACACACTTGTCTGTATCAACATTGTCATAATCCACCAGCCAAACCATAGAATCTTACAATTCTGAGATCCTCTATAAGGAAACCCAACTCCCCTATAAAATATAGAGTTGATAAAAAACCAATAGAATTGAGATACAACTTTTGATACCGAGAGTTGATTCGTTTGATTAAGTCACTGATTCTCCAGTTTTCTAATTTTTTTTTTTTTTTTGGCTTAGGACTGAAACGACGTTATATGTTGTCCAATAGTAAACCCACAAAACCGACGTAGCATATTTCATTTTTCACAAGAACTATTATTTGTAGTTGACAGTCAACACCCCGATGAAATGATGATTTTACAGAGAAAATAAGGGTGCTTCATTTCTTACTACAAAAAAAATTTACAATGTTGCAAATGTCATTCCATCGTTTTATTAGATTGTTTGATCAGGTGGGAATTTACACACCAACAGATTCCAGATGTGAACTATCTCTGTTTTGATGTGCATGTCAAATATGTTTGGATGAATTAAAAATATTTCTCTTTTACATTTTCCATCTTCATAAGCATTTACAATTTTATAGTTTTTAATACGTAAAATGTACTCAGATTCATAATTTTACCAATTCATTGAATCTAAAATTCTGATTTCGGCTAAAGAACCACCTCAGTCCAATCTAGAATCCTTTTCAACAACCTTGATTAATATGTTACCTGACTTAAGAAGTTGTATGTAAGCCTCTAGCTCATCCTAAAGATAATGGAGTTAAAAAAACAAATCCTTAATAGAAACATGACAGCACAATGAACCATTTTTATCCTATTTTTTTCCTTATAATCAACCAAAAAATAAGTAACGCCTTTGTGCCTGGTGGTGTTTTGTTGGAGGGTATAAATCACGGACTTGGCCCAAAGGACCTGGGCATAACCTTTCCAAGCCTGAAAGTCCGTGATGGTGCTTATGGAGGGTGGTGTTTGGTTGATTTTGGAGGGTAACACCTTTTTGCATCTGGTGGTGTTTATGGATCAAAAGAAATAGAAGATCCTTTGAAGGAAATGAGACTCCTATTACCCTTTGACGATTTAGAGGCCCTATTTGGCCATGCATATATTTTGAGGGACGCGTTCCCCTTTTGAATGCCTTTTATTACAATCTTACTTATCAATATATATATATATATATATATATATATATATATATATATATATATCCGGCCCATCCGAACTTCATAATAAAGTAAATTTTGAGATGAGAACAGTAGTCAAATCCCAGCATGCATCCCACTACCACCCAATTTTAGTAATATATAGTCACCAAAAAGACTTTCAAAATCTGACAACTGAACTAGTTGTCTATGCTTATAGAATCCTGGATTTGCATGGGTACAGTAACCACCCCCTTAGGCATTCAAAATTGTCTCATAATCAATCTAACGCAAACATGCAAAGATCAGGACGACTACAAATGTAGGGCACTAATAAAGAGAGATTAATCAGATACATTAACTAGTTTTCATGTATTCATTTTGCAAAATGAACAATCTTATGTATGAGGCATTTTGGGGATAAACAGCATGATAGCTACTCCGCAGATATTATGGTTAGCGGTAATCCTGGAAAACAATATATGCAACATAAACTAGAATTGTTACGCTCAACTGTCAGGATATTCAATCAAGACTGGGGTCAGGCTAAGAATCTAGAAAGATAAACTATACCATGTGTAGCAAATAAAATAAAATCATGTCATGCAAAGAGATCAGTTCCTATGCTTCAATGAATCAGTGAAGATGCCATAAAGAAAGGAAGGAATTCTGTTACCTGTAAACCAATCATCATACTCAACACATCCAATGTATTATTTCCATTGTTAAGACTAATTTTCTCACTGAATATGAAACTTGCAACATCATGATTGCCATAACCAAATCCTACATGAAACCCCAAAAAGAACGGATATCAATCTAACTATAAATAGACAAACACAAAGACAAAATGACATATTTCTGATTCAGGGATCTTTGGCTTTTGTGTAATTCAGATTTCATGAGTTAGTTGGGAAAATATTATAATTAATTCAAAGAAAATTTATGCAAATGGGAAATAAAGGGATATAATTATATATGAAAATGTGGAAAAAAATTGAGTTATATAGCAGAAAATTTAGTTTTGTTTGCCTGATGAAAAGTTAGGGATGAATTCAAATGATGTACTCTCTCTCAACATGTCACCAAAGCCTTTTCCCAACTATGTTGGGGTGAACCAAAATGATTTAATAATAGAAAATAATGCACAAGGGTAGTAGAAGATGAGGAGGTCCGGCAATACCAGAAAACTGTGATGAACGAGTAAGTTCCCACTGAAAAATAACAGTTTTCAGATAAACCAAATGAAAAAGATAGTAATCAAGAGCTTTGACATCCTCGACAGCCAATACGGTTAGTGAGTCTAAACTCTAAACTTTCTTGACCATCATAACAGAACTGTTTGAGGTCAAACACCTGAATGAATAAAGAAGATCATTTTGCTGATGATCTAGACAGGCAGTATGTGTAATTAATGTATCAGATAGGTAAGTACAATGAAAATATCGAAGAGTTCTACACTAAAAAGGATCTGGATCAATTAAAAAAATTATTGTAAAAGAACAACAGTAGTAGAGCAGGACAGTTATCACCGCATCCACCACAAATATCAGTAAAAGAAATAAACACACACACGCACAGAGAATCGATACAATATAGCTCATCTCAAAAGCTTTACTTGTATCTCTCTCTCTCTCTCTCTCTCTCATTGGGCCATTTCTAAAAATAAAATTAACATTATATCACAATTGTCTGATTTGTTGGTCAAATCCTTTGTTCTGATTACTTTGAGAAAAGCTAAGCAATCACTTGGACATTTGTTAATAAACTGAATAAAGCATAGATAGTAGCAGCAGCAGCAGTTGTGGTAGAAGAATTAAGTTTGTAGTAGTACTCAAATGGTATTTAGTCACCCTATTCGGGAAAAGAAAAATGGTATTTAATGGTTATAGCAGTAGTGCTTATGGCAGTTGTAATAGCAACAGTGTACATGGGTCGCACCCCCATTTTAGACCTCTTTAATGAACTCTTGATCAAAATAAGTTATAATAGTGAATAGTGATGGCATTAGCGGTAGTGGCATAATATGAACAACAGCTACTAGTGAAAGAACAATCTTGAAATAATAGGCTCCAACAGATAAGGAGCCATATTTTTGCTAGTAAACATTTATGAGTATCTGAGCAGTAAAACCTCTTTATGAAAACTGAACGCCATCCTGACAAATCTTATGTCATAAATGAGTTGAATTCGTATAGTTTCTAATTTTCATTGATTAAGCTGTAATTAATTCCACAACCTAATCGTTCTGAGCCGCTGATGCAGAACTGAGCAACGAAATTAAGTCCAGAAACTCAGCCGACAACTCTCAGAAAACAAAGCTTACCCAGAATCCCTTCATAAACAGAAAACTACTAACCAGTTCAACTAGTAATGTATTTTTTAGTACAGAACAGTAGCCATTTACAATCGAAAACTAAGAGGAAAGAAAGAAGAGGCAAATGTCATTTCATTGCTTCAGGTAGAGTACCTACCTACAAGTCTTTTGTTTAAAAAAACAAGTGCCGCATGTCCTAAACTCTCGATAACCAAATATACTTCTTCTGCTAGACCAAGCTTGATGTTCTCGTTGACATTTATACTGTCAAAACAGAGAACAGCAGCGGTATAAATGTCTCATAAAATCCAAATATTGATAATTAATTTACTTTGTAAGGAATATATAAAAAAATAACACCTATATTAACTTAACTAATAAATACTTTATTAAAATCACAACAGATTTTCTTGAGAAATACGGAAAACATTTTAGAAAGATAGGAATGTATCAACATAAAGTAGAAAGGTCCAGTGCTCCATCTGGTTTCTTGTCTGAGTCCAAAATTTTCTATATTCCCAACAAAAGAAATATGGAGCTTCAAACAATCCCGAGGAAGGTACACATTAGTAAAAACCCATTTTGAATTCTATAACTATCAGTTCAACAAACTAAAATAGAACTTCTCAAAAGCCAGAACATGATATAGTTGCATTTGATCAAGTTGTGATATATTTTTTATTCTCAACACTTGAACTTAGTACCATAACTTGGTCAATTGGCACAATTTTGTTGTTCTTAAAAAGTTCAATACTTCTTGTTGTATTGTGAAAATACAGACTAAACCAACAGATAACCAATGAAATATTACTTAAATTTACAAGTTACCTTGTTGTGTACCAAAGAAAATCACTAGTATCTTTTGTCGTATTTATCTGCTCCAGTAAACTTGACTCTGTAAATGAGTTGTTACCCCAAACACCCACTTTTTCTTTATACCAACTCCATTTTGACGATGCCCATGAAAATTCTATCACACTTCTATTGCGGGCAAATGCAACATCATCAATATTTCTTTGTGAAACAACCTTGATTCATTAGCAATGCAAGGAACATACATAAGTAACATAATAATATACTATTCAAAAAGATAAACACCAAAACACACACACACACATATATATGTATCAAATTTAAACTGTGCTGGAATACTAAACTGATACTCATATAAACCAATCAGTAGAAAAAAAAAAAAAAACATAGTCTGCTACCATATTACATTTAGATAATAGCAAATATCCAATATTTAAAATATAAAAAAAACATATATGGTGAAAAATAAGCTAAATAAATTTAAATTTATCATCATACTCGTCATAATCATAGCCAACATTCTATTCTTCATCACTATCTTGTCCAGTCACCACCCAACTCTCATTTTCAATTCCCTCATAGAAATTATGATCTTCTAGTTGAACATCATCGTTGCTCTCTTCTCATGATGCTCATCATACTCGTCATAATCATAGCCAACATTCTTTTCTTCGTCTTACAAAACAGATTAAGCAGTTCACTTTAGATTATATTTACAAAATAGTTGTAAGTATGACATAAATTTTTTCAAACCAAAAAGAAAACTTGAGAAAGTAAAATATAATCATACATGTTTTCTTGTAAAAAAGGACAAAAAAAAAAAAAAAAAAAAAAGGACATTTGATGGTTGAATAAGGACATGGATGTATGAATCTTTGGGTAGAAAAGGGCACCTATTTGGAGTTTGAGTGGGTTTGAGAGCAACTGATTTAGTTGGACAAAGTAAACAAGAAAATCCAACTGACTTTGTTGGGTTTGAATGTTACATAAGCAATTCTATGTCATCTCAACTATTTCGTTGCTATCACCAGACAGCATTGTTTTAACCAAGATGCGAAGTTGTCTCGAAATACTGAACGAGATGATGCCATCCCACTAATCTCTTGTTCTGCGCCATGTATTCATCTCGAGTCCAGTGGCGCTGAGATGACTGGGCAGAATTGTCGCTGTTAAGACAATACTTCAAACCATGATTATGATAATACAATTTACGCACTAAGGCTAGCAAATGCACTTAGAGCATATGCGAGAATGACAGTACACTGAAATGGAATGCCAAGTAGAAAATTTTCACAAAAGTTAGCAGAGTTGAAACCTTTTCTCCTACTATCAAATAATATTATAATCCATGGGTAACCAAAGGCCAAAAAATAAAATTTTATATTGAGCTCTTCAGATTTATTGGCAGTAAACTGATTTATGCATGCACCAGAATGTAATAAAAAATATGTATACCTTTGCTGTGTTAAAAATGACATTCTTACAGTCAGGGAGAACGCTCACAGACCAAGCAGGAAGGAAGTACAAATTCCCCATAAAACTGACATTTGCATCGGAAAAGGTGTCATAGTTAGCAAGAAAAGCTGCACAGTCGTTGGAAGATTTATAATAGATATGTGCCTGAAAAAAAAATCAATTCCGTCAAAAAGATAATTACCATAGGAGCATAAGCAACAAATCATGAAAAGTTGTAGAAGTGTCACTATAACTATAGAGAGAGAGACTCCAAAAAGAAATTTCACCACATGATTCTCATTATATATTTGAAACGTTCAACAAAGAAATTGTACCAAAATGAAGGCATTTGTTCAGAGCTAAGCAAAAAAAACAAGGCAGTGACTCCCATTTCCCAGACAAGATAGACACCTAATAACCAATGCATGTGGTGATTTGTAATGTCTGAGAGGTAGAATGGGCTCCTAGATGCACTAAGTAGTTGGGCCTGCACTGACATTTTTCATCCTTGAACATGAACAAAGTTTTATGTTCCCTTAGTTTCTGGCGTCCGATGAATATTAGCGCCACAATCTTCTCCGGGTCTTACAAAAGAATCTTCGCCGAGAAGGTTTTTACTTTTCTAATTATTGTACAAATTGTATCTTTCTAGAATACTCTAGCACATTTTAGGAGATTTAATTTCCTTTTCTATTTGGAGAGCTCTTGTATGAATAAACATCTCTTTTACAGCGTATTCTAATCAATGAGTGAAGATAATTTTTCTTCCCCAATTTTCTCTAACATGAACGATGACAGTTATGTACCTTTGTGCTAGAGCATTGATAACCTGATGCCATTACAACGGTAATGTATCTCGGGTTTGTCCATAATGTATTTCACCCAGACCAATTTGGCGCAGCACAAATGCAAACATCTATAAATGACTTAAAAGATTGTGAAAATCAAATTATTGTCAATAGAGGTTACATGGTTAAGTTTTCGAAAATATAAAGGCAAACGAAGCAAACAATGACCAGGGTCTATGGGGTTGAGTTTGAATTGGGATAATTTTCACATTAGAGATCGGAATATCATCTTTGGGCAAAACATGTATAAGAGAAAATTTTGTTTGATTTAAAATAATTTTTTCCATAAGAAATTTTCATTTCAGTTTTTTTTCCTTCGAATATCTTTCCCATTCATCCTCTACTTCCATTCAACCTGTACAAATAGCAAACTGTCTCCTTCATCTATGAAACACATCTTGGTTCCTGGGTTAGAAATTCCTTACAATGTTTGAGTTCTAAATTCAAAGCTGTCATTTTAAATACAATTCATAATTTGATACTCTATACATTCGCTAAAAGATAAATCAGGTACACATGTTATAACTTCTAGCATACCTCTAGATTTACACCAAGAGGCTGTTGAATAGGATCTGCACTGACCAAATAATCTTCACACTGCTTTATTGCCATGTGTAAGTCACGTAGGTGGCCCCACTTTGGCTGTCTAATAAAACCTGCATTAAGTGTCTCTGTAATAAATAAATGCAGCAATTTATATGGATGAAGTAGGGAAATACTTCTAGATCTTTAAGCGATTGCCCAAAATAAAGTTTTATTGATGGACAAAAAAGACCAATAATGCTTTATGGTGCAGGGTGTTGGATATAATCCAATAGAAAAGAGTGTCGAGCTAGATAAGTGTCTAGGCAGTGACACGGAAAAGAGAAAATAAATAATAAATGCATCCTTCAGAAGGTCAAGATGATACATTCTTTTTTATGGGATAGGACCGATAGGTAAGTATACATTATACACGCCGCCACTGGCCTTGATCCCTCCACCTACGCCTTGGGAAGGTGGAGGACATGCCACCCAAGAGAAGGCTTTGGGATAGGTAAAGATGACACCCATTTGAAGAAAGTTACCTAGTATGGTTTAATCATGAGCAGAAAGAACAATGAAAAGTAGCGATTTAGCTCAAGTTGAATGTGCTACAATAGCAAAAAAGGCCAAGGGAATATGGGATAAGGCAGTTAGAAAATATGTGATGACCAATAATTTAGCTATGGGTATGGACCAAAAAAGAGATGAAAGCATGAGGTTCAATTAAGCAAACCAAGTAATAGGATTTCTTACATCTAGAACATGTCCTTCAGCATGCAGGTGTATATTAAAGAAGAACATATTTAAATCACAATTATAATACATATTTGACATAACAATAATTTTCAGCTGCACCATATTATGAAATTGAACAGATTGAACAATACATATACATATCTATATATGATAGGTAAAAGTATTGCTTTGGTGCATGGAGTTCAGGTTCACCCTCTGAGATGGTGTGTTAACCAAATGACAAGAAGTTTACCGTATTCATCTATTGGGGCATCATAGTCATAGCTTGTTGCAATTAAAGGACCTCCAGCTGTTCGTCCAAAATTCGTGCCACCAAAATACTACAAGGGGATACCAGAGCTAAGTCCGGGGGTCAATTTCTGTAGTTATGTTTACCAAATCATAACTAGAACAAGAAAAATAGAGATCTTTGTAAGCTTACCATGTAGTAGTTTTGAAATGTGCCACCTGTTTCAAAAAAACGTGCAACAGCAAAAGCCAGGTCCTCAACAGGTCGATAAGGAATTGCATAACCAAATGAAAGGAACCTGTAAAATCAGATAGGACGTTAGATAATTCCACATTTTTTATGAAAAAAGTTGAACTACCGCACGTCTTTCACATAGGCTAAATCAATGTAGATTTACCATCCACTGTAGTTCTCTGTCCACATCTTCGGCTTGGAAGGGGAATTTGGGGTAAACCCATCACAATAAAATCCATTACATGTGTTTATCTATGTTACACCAAAATGTAATTATTGTCAGACAATAAATTTGCATTATTAAACTAAAATTTTCTCAAAGATGAGAAATAATGATGCATAATGAATGTAAATACAATAATAATCTGTCAGTCCACTCATTTAAGATACTGATGCATACCTTAGCATGTCTGCATAATAGTAGTAGCAGAAGAATTTGTTAAAGCATATTGATATTGAATTCAAGAATTTAACTGACAAATATTGATGATTGCAACTTCTCTCTCTCTCACAACTTTCTTTGTCTGTACCTTCTCTCTCTACTTCTCTTGTAGCTGTCCAAAGTTCGGGCAAGTTATTTCTTGGGGGAAAAGGACAACCTCTAGCTATCAAACTTACACATGTCCAATTACACAATGCTATGAATCCTTTATATCTCCACAAATGTCAAAATCTCTTAGCCTCAACTCACTAAATGAGAGAGGGTAGAGATATACTCTTATTTTTCTGTGTCACCGTGGTATTCTACAGAATGCTGTTCAGGTGTTTCATGAAAACATATCTAGTGTGTATGGCTAATGAACTAATTATGAGCTATTGTCGGGTTAATTCCACTTTATGAAATAACATTTCCTTATTGCTTAAACCTTATAATACAACTTTTGGCTCCAAGAACTAAACCCATTTTTCCAAAAGGAAATGGTTCTAAATCCCTCAAGTTTGTGAACTATTTTGTCTTAAGACAACCTTTTAGACTCCAAAGTAAGTGAAAGGAGAACATATGGAAGAACTTGAATAGGTAGATACTTGACTATAAATATAACAAGAATCCCATGAACCAAAGTCATTATTTGAAGGATGGCCTATTTTGATTTCTAGGAAACAATAATATCGGAGCCCTTTCTATCTATCTAAGATCAAAGAACCAACTTAAATCTCCTTATTCAAAAGATTTCCTACATATATTGGACATCAAAAACAACTTTATCCCCCCTAAGGACCAAATTAGAAAATAAATGAAAACATGAACAAGTTTTTCAAAATCAATCAATCCATGTGCCATAAACGAATGTTTACCCTCCCCACTTCTTCAAACCTATTCCTTTGCAAAAACTTGACAAGTCTGCAAACCCATTAGAAACACTCCGTAACAAAAAACAGTCTCTTGGCTATCTCAATCTCCACAATAGAACCAAATAGTTATTACCTGATGACTTGTTCTAAGGTTGTCTGTTGTCTATCGAAGGTCAATTAATGATTTCTAGAAAAGGACTTGTAATATTTGGCCTCAATCTCCATTATTTAGGGCCCAAGCTTTTCACTCCATGACCATTAGTGAACTCAAAGCAAACAATGAATGAGGAAAATGAAAAGAAAACAAAACCACTTCAATGTCAAACAATATACCTGGCAACTAAGGCAAAGCATTTATGTTTTTTTTTTTTTTTTTTTTTTTGATAAGTAGAGCATTTATGTTTTTATACTCTTCTTCTTCTTCTTCTTCTTCTTCTTCTAATGAAAGTAAAGAAATTTTTATGACCAGGCAATATCCTTTTAAACCTCGAATTAATAAAAGGAAGATAACAGATGCATTTGATAACAAGTCTTAGTGATTCCTATAAAAAGACCCCAAAGGAACAATTAATACTCTGAAAACAAACACAAATAAAGGCATCATAACCTCACAAAAAGTTATCAAAGAGCTATAGTTTGCCTGTCCAAGAAAATTGATCACGGAAAGCACCAAAAATGTCTAAACTATGCGCTTCTATACAATTGTCTTACTTATCAAAAAAAAAAAAAAAAAGTCAAGTCTAAACTATGCCCACATTTCCCGAAGACCTATATAGTTCTCAACAACGATGGTCTTTAATAATATTAGCAAATGACCTGAATGAAAATATTACGAAGTTGACAAGAAAAAAAAAATGGGCTACAAAAGATTTCTCAGATTCTTTTTTTTTTTTTTTTTTTTTTTTTGTCACAAAATTCCAATGGGAATTGGTTTTAAGTAGTTTTAACTAACGAGATCTGAACTAAATTCCAAAATTCTGATTATATATATTACAAGCAAAATGAGAGTGAAATGGTGCAATAATGCTTAAGAAAGAAAAGAAAAAATTACAAAATGCCATTTGATCCACCACAATTATATGGATAGTATTGGAGCTGGCTGATTTTGGGACCAACAGCCAAGGTGGAACCCACATGTGAAGCCTCCTCCTCTTGGCATCCTTGTTTAAAAGGTTGAAGGAGCTGATGTTGCTCCAAAAATAATCAAATGTGCACCACTACATAATTCAGAATAACATTGCTACAAAATTTGAATGCTATCCATCATCATGTCTTCTCCGTTTTTAACAAATGACCAAGAAGTTTTTGACCAACAAATTCAGAACCTCAATTATTGATTGTTGTTCACTAAAGATACATTCCTAAGTGGGATATTTATGTTCTTAGAAAGAAAGATGAGAAATCAACACATTTTTAGATATATAGGCTTCTTGTATATCCATCCTTCCTCCTTTGTATTTTATGTTCTTCAGCAATGCATTTTATTACTTCAGGTTTTAAGCCACGCCCTTAAACAAAATTTTATTCAAGGAATGTTTCTACAGGAGTTCTGCAGCAACATATCCCACCTGTTATTGATCAGCAAGAGAAATATGTGTGTGAATCTTGTCTACCAAAAGCCAGGTCCTGTAAGAAGCTACCAGAACTAAGTTTGGTTATACCATCATATCATTTCCACTCATCAAGATAAACTACAAGAACAGTAAGGTAGCAGCTTTGATTTGATAATACTGCCTTTCTAATGGCTCACAAATGTACAAAGTAAAAGATTCAAATTCTCTGTTTTTAGAGATTGTGTCTACTCTTCATACTTCTGACCGCCTCAAGTTACAGCAGCTACATAATACATGAAGCAGGATATTCTTATGATTCCAATACAATATAAAGTAATTTTTTGCATTTATATTCTAGGGGAAAAAGTGATTCCACTCATATGATAAACACTTACAATTGGATCAGGTGCATCTTGTTGCACACACATCACCCAAGGAACAGTAGTATTAAGGCTAACAGCAGTTTCTGCAGCCCATCTGACATATGATTGCCCACCAACTCCGTAGGCCCACTCAACACTCCCATATTCATTCTCAACCTGTTACAACACAAAATATGTAAATACAAATATAATCAAGTGACCTCAAATTTACAGACACATTCAGCATTTACCTCAATGTCATAAATGGCATAGGGTTACGATTGTCTACTCTATGAAGTATAAAGCGAGAAGAAAAAACAATAATTAGGTAACAGGAAAAAAAAGATCGTGCGATTGAATGCAATTATGTTAAGCTTATAAGACTGAAAGGAATAGAGATGTTGCACAGACAATGCAACTTCCCAGGCTCTCAAATATCATGATGATTCAAATACTGAGTGCACATTAAACTAAGCTACCAACTCAATAGCAAAATTGTAAAATATATATATATATATATACAAGTTAAAATTGTAGGAATTAAAAAAAAATTGAAAAGGCCAGATCTGTACATCATGCACACATTTTTTTTTTACTTAGATACCATCCATTACATAAATTCAATAACAAGATTCACAATAATATTGCAAAAATAAAATAAAATAAGTTGCTCCATTAGATAATATTCCCAACTCAAATTATCCCCTCAACCATTAGATAATATTCCTAACTCACAGCAGTTAACTCTAAGTTAGAACTGCAGAGATTACTCAAGAATCTAATAAAGTAGGATCAAAACACAATATATGAAGTTTTAACAAAACTAGAAGTAAAAATGATGATAGTAATAAAACTTGATGGCAGTGACAAGCCTAAAAGCAATTGTTTCTATCTTTGACCAATATTATTCATGAAAAAAGGAGGATTGAAGACGACACTGCTCATAGAATTATATAGGATGGTTGAAAAGGACTACCTCCTAAGTGTTGTATAATAATCAAATTCCTACCAAATTAACAGAAAGTTCTGTAAGAAAACTAGGAAGTCAGATACGCTTTGAGGTCCAACATGTTCGGTAATGAGGTAAAAATATCGTCAAAAATTTAATACATCCAGGACAAGGATGTTCTGATGAATAAGTGGCAACACAAAAAAAAAAATAAAATAAAATAAAACAAAATAAAAGAAAAAGAAAAAAGATCAAATGACAAACAAATACATTCATGGGAAGTTAGAAGTAGCACTTATTAAGGATAAGATGATGAAGAAGCAGTTTGAGATGGTCTGCCATGTGTCACGTAGACCACGTAATACATTAGTACCAAGAAATGATTTAATCCATCCTAAGGGTGCTAAAAGGACAAGAAACATGAGTTGAGGCTGTAGAGAGAATATGATTGCCTTGATTTTTACTGAAAATATGGCTCTATAAAGAGAAATAATAAAAGATGAACTGACAAAGGCATTCAAGAAATTCAGATTAAGGCTTGTTGAGTAGAAGATTAATAAATCAAAGGTCATTGAGTTCAATTTGCAAACTAGCATCCAGAAAATATATTACATATGAAGTTTGAAATGTGTGCATGGTGCATTGAAAAAGAGAGCACTAGGGGAAGGCACGTTGAAGCATTGTACATGAGATATAATGAGGGTGTCACTTATCTAATAATCAGATATTTGAAAGAAAACTATAGGATACACAAACTTCAAAATCTCCAGACCTACAATTATTTTCCCATAAATAAGAAATGTTTTCTAGAATTTTTCTGTTGAATCAAAATTTAAAGCCTGTCGAGGACCTCATATCAACATTTTTGAAAGTTTTATATGATTACAGCAAGGGGGGCATGATAGCCAGAAGACATTCTTGAATTCCTGATTAATTTATCTATCATCCAAGTTATGCCTTGATAATTGTCCCATCTCAACCAATGAAGTCATTATCCTGTGTCGTCCCATTAATCGAGGGTGCTACGAGGGGTAGATGGTACTTACTTAATCTTTGGCATTATTTGCACAAAATGACCACTCTCAGAATTCAAACACACGTTTCACACTGGATAGCCTGTGCATTTACCAATACAGCAAGCAAAGGCCCTCATTTCCATTTACAAAATACATAAAAATGCAGTCATCAAATATATATAAATTTGGTACAACATCAATGGTTAGTCATACATATTGTATAGTGATTAGTCAGTAAAATGGATTACACAGAAGATAAGGAAACAGGATGTTCATAAAATTTTGTAAGAAGAGTTTAGACATCAAAATTTTTCAGCAATACAGAAGAAACCACCTGAGCAAGAATGATTGGCCCTCCTTGTGATGCAAAGAGATTTTCCTCCTTCATTAAATTAACAATTTTGGCGAGAAAACCTTGCATTTCTGTCTGCACTTACAGTAATTCAAACTTTACAGCAATGTAGGGTTTGCATATTTATGTATCAACTTAAATAAACTGTTCACAACATACAAGTTATGTAGAAAAAGATTGAAAAGTAATAGTTTATCTAGAAATAAATTCTCATAGACAAACATAACTATTGTGTACCTGGAAAAGTTCGTTTGTTGTCCTAAACTGGATTCCAGGAATGAAGTGTAACCAAATAGGGAATCCCCTGTTCGAAAAAGAGAGAAGGATTGGAAAAGCAAAAAAATAAGACCTTTAGAAATTTTGCATGCTAAATTGGAGAAATCTAATTTGCAATTTTGGAGCAAATAAAGGTAATGGACTAAGCAACTATAATAATTTTATTCCAGCTGCTGTGGATAAAGCAGAGTGGCCTTAATTTTTAGGAACAGTAATGATCTAATGGATAGCAGAGAAACTAACCACATGTCATTTATGATTTAATATGTAAACAAGTCATAAAACTCGCAGATATGCATTTTCAGATATAATCAAGAAGCCAAATGTTATAACAGAAGCAACCTTACAAACCAAAGAAATAAATAAGGAGGTGCTATATGCCACATAACAAGAAGAGTGAATAAAGAGAAACAAACCCATAATTCCATTCAGCACAAGCATATGGGCCGATCCTGAGATGCACAAAAAGGCCAGCTTCCTGCACTGTCTTCACAAACCTAACCAGGTCAAACCTGCCCTCGAAGTAGTACTACAATATTTTTAAAGCAAAAATTAGTAATAATGATGATGATGATGACGACGACAACGATGACAATGATCAAACAGTCAAAATGCTTAAATTAGAAAATATGTGATAGCATTGATAGTCAATTAGGCAGTTGATTGAAGGTGAACTTCATACATCATATGGCAGTAACATTAGCAATTTGTTGTGCACTTGTGCAAGGAATAACAAAGCTAAATTTATAGCAAGAATAATACTGAAACATGAGCATATCCAACAAGAAGAAAAAGGATACCATCAATTATAGCAAATAACTCATTCCAAAAGCATAACATAAAAAATGCAGTTACTAAAATATCCTGTAATAACATACAACCATATAAAATATATTCATAGAATTTAATTTACTCTTTCACTCTAAACTTTAGTGCAGGCAAACATTCATTAACCTCTATTCTGAAACAAACACAAGCAGAACTTGAACTTTTGTCAACATCACTATAGAATCACCGAACTTGCCAAAGGCTATAGCCTACCAGTACTTCCTCGCCTTCCAAAGTAGAAGGTCGAGGGTTCAAGTCCCCTATGGGATTAGTGGGTGTGTGTTTCACAACAGCAACTCACAAGCCCATCCATCCTTGACAACGCACCCGCGAACTCTTCTAAGAACTATTTTGGACGGTAATTACAATAATTATCAAATAGAAACATGGCTAACTTTATACCTCTCCCTTCACAGGCTCATGGTAGTTCCAGAAAACATAAGTCTCGATCACGTCCAATCCTCCTTCCTTGGATTTCCTAATAAGTTCCGGCCATACCTGAAATTCGTCACAACGATATTAAGCTACATTATCATATTACTCATCACAAGTCTCAAAATTTTCATCATCATTTGATGTATATGAATTATGAAATCAAACCCACTTCAGGTGTGCTTCGAGGATAATGTATAGAACCCGACTGCAAAATTCGCCTCTTTCCATCAATAACCAGTGCTCTGTGATCATATGTCACAGTAGTAGAAAGCCCTCTTTCCCAGAAATAACCTTCAAAAACCAAAATTGCCAATAAAACCATAGCTAATGTGTCATTTCTTCCCATAATTCAGTTCAGAAAACCAATTTGCATAAAATGGATATAAATGAACACATTTTCAATACTACGCCAAACACCATAAGACAAAGAAGTCAAGAACACCAGCGACAATTTAATTTTCTGTTCTTATTTCTCTTTTATCTTATATCTTCTCTAGATGAATAATTTATATATAAATTTATACTAGAATTCTCAGAGACAAAGAGTCTTGAACAAACAATTGTCTCATGTGGAAGGTTAGAGTGTATTGAACATGTGTGTGTGTGTGTGTGTTTTTTTTTTTTTTTTTTTGGGGAATTGTCGTGAAACATTTGTTGCGATAAAAAATGAAGAATATATGAAGAACATTAAATGCAAATAAAACATACCCAAGAGGCCATTGGGACGACATTAACAAAGCTTGGTTTCTTGATAGACACGCTGACGCAGAGAAGCTGAAAATGCCTCTAGAAGCTTTTTGAGAGATGAAGGCAAATACAAGCTGCTTCAGTGGTTATCCTGCGCTCTTTGCAAAGCTGCTTTTCTGGGAGTACTGAAACGGACAATTATTTTATTTTATTTTATATATATATATTTTTTCCCTATATTATGTTAAAAAAGAATGTATTTCATTTTTTATAAGTATCAAAAAGAAAAATTACACATAAATTGATAAATTGAGTTAGGAGATCTAAATAATAAATGGGTAAATTTCATTCCATTAACATAAACCCCTACATATTTTATAATTTCATTTATCTTTCCTGAAATTCTGATTTATATAACAGATTCTTCTGTTGGTCATTGGAGGCATTCGACAAATTTTCTTAATGTCCGTCGAATAAATATGATAGAAAATCAATTTTTCCCTTAATCAATATATAATTCATGGAAAGCCCAGTTGTAGGGGCATGTGGTGGTTTAACTTCACTGACTGACCGGGGGTTAGTGTTTCTACAAAACATAGAGAGTTCTATTTCAAAGATTGCTTCCTTTGTCTTAGCCGGGGAGCTCTTAGCGAATAGACCTCAGGATAAGTTGCTAAAACAAACGGAAGGGGAGGATCGACCCGTATAATTCCGAAGAAAGACGAAAGCCTCAACCTCAACAATGAATTCTTTGGCCCCTTCAAAAGGAAATGCACAATTTATGTGCAATTAGGTATTACTTTTGTACCATTGTTGTTGTTTTTTTTTTTTTTTTTCAAACAAAAAATTGTTAGGTACTTGTACTACTTTTGTTCACTTTGTACAACTTATGTACAATAGGTATTACTTTTGTCCCATCAGCTCCATAAGGGAAGGATCTACGGTGGGGTCAGTAGTGGCATCCGTCTCTACTGAAATTTTTTGTTATTGCATTTTTTTTTTTTTTTTTTTTACTCATAAAATTTTAAAATTACCTCCACTGAAATTATGAAAAAAATCTTCTATATAAATTTGCCTTCCTCATATAAATATCTAGATCCCGTCCCCTGCATATTATCCCGAAATAATGCACTTAAAAAAAAAAAGAAAAAAAGAGGCATGTTAGGTAATTTAAAATAATATATAGTATTTTTTTTATGTCCACTTTAGTGATTTTTAAGAAATAACGCTTATTTGAAAATTGAAAAGTTTGACTTCATATGACTGTAAAAATTCCCTAACTTCGTATATATATATATATATACAAATACTCTATTTTATAAATAATTGTTTAATTGATTTCAATGTGAACTAGGATAAAGTCCTTTATGTTTTAATTCAATATTAAAATATAGTTTATATAAACCACTACTAATACAAGTATGTTGGAAAATAATTGAACAAATATCCAATAAACTAAGGTGCATGGAACTTTATTTATTTATTTCATCATAATCTCGGAGCTGAGGGATTTTCTTGGGCCAAATGTGACATCGGATTAAATTAATGTGTCAAATTTTTATATACTCTCCAAATATTAAAATATAATCTGTATAAATCATTATTCCTATTCTCTTTTGACTTTAAAACAGGTATGTCGGAAAATAATTGAACAAATATTCCAACAACAAGAAAAGCATAAAATCTTCTTGGTCTATATAAATCATTATTCCTACTATTTTAGACTTTAATACAAATCAAATCAAATCTTCTTCCTCTATATATAAATCATTATTCCTACTATTATTACCCTACTCTTTTTGACTTTAATACACAGATATGTCGGAAAATTATTGAACAAAAATATTTCCAACAACAACAGAAAAAGCATAAAATCTTCTTACTTTCATCATACTTTCTAATTTAAATTGATGTGTTGTAACATTTCAATGTGTCAAATTTTAACAAGTCCCGCCAGTCCCTAAACTCCCGTTTGGACTCTCCAGATTCAATTTCGAAGAAGTTTATCACAGTTCTAACTATTAAACACATAATTTTTATTTACAAATCCTACAAATATTTTCGAACCACAAGTATAATGAATGGTTGGAAGTCACTCACGGCTAGCTCAGTGTACTCGCTAGAACTTTCTGAATTTGACTCGAAAGACCCGGTTGGAAGGATTTCATGTTATCAAAAAAATAAAATAAATCAATGATTGGAAGTTCAATTTTATTTTTAATTTATTTCTGGGTGGGTGGGTGTACCTCTAAAATTAAGTAAACTTCCATTCCATATGTTGTGACGCTACTAGACTCTCTTACACTGTGCTTAAAGCTCGGAAAGAGAGAGAGAGAGAGAGTGATACTTCATACACTAAGTAAATAAAGATGGCAACAACAGATATTTCATAGAACTACTTCAAATTTTATTTGTTATCAGTATTTATGTAATATGTATATTGAAATTGTGGGGGTTCTTGAATATAATAATACCACAAGTAGCATGGGTGACATCTAGACACAAACTGTGATGGACCTGGACAGAAACTTGGAAGGAAGGAGGAGAAGTAGACTAGTCCATGGAATCTGTGATTAATGTAGGGATGTATGTTACTCTGTGTGAGATTTTTGGAGTTGTTCATTCTTTACTTCATGCATGCATGGGAGTTTTCTTTTTCCAGTCTCAACTCCTTGCCTGGCTCTAGAGAATCGCCCTCGGAACTCTAGCCTACTCTACTAGGCCATCATGACCTTGCCAGCTGTGGTAGGGTCACAATGGTCTTTTGGCTCATAGAGATGTTCTGTCGCATTAAATACATATCCCTTTAAAAGTAGCGGTAGCTGAGCACATTAAATGTAATTATAAGTGTCTCCGTCAAGGCATGTGATTTTATCATCTCATTGACTAGGTTTATAGGTAAGGCGAGCTCTAGCCTCTCATCCTTCAAACCAAAGGTCCTTCTAAATCCCAAGGAGAGAACTACAGACCCTCGAGATCATCCTACTTTGGTCTCATTCTGGTGCTGCATTTCTGAGTATTGTCCTTGAGCGCCTTTAGAAGGGCTATGCCTTTGAACTTGTAATGCTGTCATGGGAGTGGTGTCCACGTGAAAGCCACGTGGACCAGTGGGATCCATCCCCTACAGAAATTTATTTTAACCTAAAGATGTCTTGTCCGTTCATGTTTCATGAAGTGAATGTAACTGGCTTCACTTCCCTCCTTGAGATGTTATTTACTGAATTTTTTCGAAATTACTTATGAAAAATACTCCTTTATTTACACAAACACAAAAAGAACAATCTCCAACTTTTTTTTCTCTCCTAATAAGCAGGAAAAATCCATGATATCTCTCCTATTTCTTTCTTTCAATTCAGCCTTTGTCGATAATTATTTATCAGATGTATATTATAAAAGTGAAAAAAGAGACTAACAATTATCTGAGTTGCACCCAAAAACATCAAGAGCGGTTGACTCAACTCAAAAATACCCCTCCACTCGAAAATATCCCTCCTCTCCAAATGGGAGGTTGATCATTTAAGCCCCGTTACAGGGCAATATTGTGGATGTATGCCTTTCCTTGAACTTTTCGAGTAAAAGAAAAGATAAGTAGAAATATTTCAGTGTCATGCCAAAATGTCATGGGAAGTTCGTATCCTCCCAAACATAGCAAACAAATTTCTGGATCTGTGTACATAACCCACATCCCTCTCAGATAACGTAGAAACAACAAAAAGGATCAGTCTCTCTCTCTCTCTCTCTCTCTTTTTGCTTTATTATTATTATTTTTAATATTTCAGACTCATCTTGATGTCTCTACATTGGACCAAGCATTTTTCAACACAACAAATTGAATATTTTTCAACTCCCATTTTGATGAGATGATCATTTCCCAAACACTGCTAATAACCAAAAACATTGTCCTACTCCTACAAAGTTTAAGAGGGGTGCACGCACAAATTGCCTGGATCCAGCAGGTTCATATAAGAGGCTAGCATTAAAGGCTCCAAAATGATCCAATTTGCCCCTAAATCTAATTGAAACCCTCAACCCTTTTTTTGTTCTCCAGAGCTGTAGAAGTATCCTAATGCCCTTAATCTCATGGTCTCCTGAATGAGCTTTCAAGACTCACCCTATCATTTGATCAACAGATCATTGGTTAAGGTCATGGACTTTTTAAAACACCTAAACACACCTTTCAGAGCCTTAAATATGCTGTGTAATGAATTATAAAAGCATATAACACAGAAAATACAATTGGCAGCATGAAGATTTTATGCATAACCAAGGCCATCTTGCCCAATACTAAAAGCACTTTTAAGGGTAGCTTTGTTTAAAACGGAGAAGTACTGTATTGCATGGCTTCTTTTACAAAACCTTGTGAATAGGAAGATGTATATATAACAATAAAGTGCTGGTGTGAAGGGGTAGCAGGTTTAAAAGTACAACTCTCTGCTCCCAATCTTTACATAAGACAGCAAAAGCTTATCTAATCTTCTAGTAGTATTTTAGAATCTTTGTAAGAGAACAAACGTACTGCATTTTCGTAGCTTATGTCTGCAAGTTCTTCCTTAGTCATCTCGAGCAAAGATGCAACATAGATCAGCACATTATGAATGTTAGCTGGATGATTAAGTGTTTCTTTTGGTAGTGTTAATGCATCTCTTGCAGCTTGGGACAGATTGTCCGAGGGACTGCCTTCATTTGAAGTTGAATTTTCACCTTGATCCTGATACCCTTTAGCATTGGAAGCATCTTCTTCAATCAGAAACAGAGAATCCAAATTATTTGTTTTTGGTAGCGCATCAGGTGCATCTGTTTCCAATAAAATCCTATCAGCGGGTACTGACTTTAACATTTTCTTTGCCTTGCTTTCTTTCATAGACATAAGAAATCCAGAGAAGGAGAAGTAAGCACCAAGGCTAGCCAATTCAGGAACCATCTCAGCAGAACCCAGGAAAGAATGCAGAATTATGCCAGCAGGGAAAGGTCCCATAGATTTCAGTATCTGAAGAAGATCACCGAAAGCACGCACACAATGAACGGATACTGGTCTTTTCAACTCTTTTGCAAGTTCAAGCTGTTGCCTGAAAACTTCAACTTGATCCGTAAAATCGATCTCCCTTCCCCTCGAACCTTTGTCCAAACCAATCTCTCCAACTGCAGCCGAAGGAGTAGCTGTAAAGAATTCCTTCAGTGTGTTAAACCAGCTGGGAGTCCTCTCAGTAACATACCAGGGATGGAGCCCAAAGCATGGGATTATGCTAGGATAATCGTCACTCATCTGCTTCACCAGATGCCAATCTTTCTCACAGATTCCATTAACAGCAAAACGAACTACGCCAGTATCAAGGGCTTTTCTAATTACTTGGGGAGCCATGCTAAAGATCCTTGGATCTTGGAGGTGACAGTGAGCATCAAAGAGTTTCACCATGGCTCCAGTACTGGTGCTTCTATATGGCTCTTCTCCTTCACCTTCTCAAGTATCAAACTTTTCTACTGCTGGATTGTGAAAATTCTTTAACCTGCACCCGCCCTACAATATTCCTTCAGTAAATCCACATTTTAACAACTGTGGTGGTGATTATTGGCAGTGGCAGCAGGTCAAAGTGACAACTGACAACAATATCGAGAGCAGGTACGTGGCAAAACTAGCAGGTGGAGGATGGGGCAAACATCATTGGCAGTGGCAGTGTAGGCAGGACGTCGCCTTAAAAGGTTTCACCCTTGAATCCTGTCAAAGGAGAGCAAGAAGCCTCTTGGTTTAACAAATATTAACCAGAACACAAATGATGGCAAAAGGGGACATTCATTATACGTATAAAATGTAGGAGTGTGTTAAAGAGTCATCTAGAAACAATGGGAATATGCATCACTAAGAGGTATCAAAATGAATCTAAAAAAAAAACTAAAGAAGAATAATGGTTAATATATGTCTTAAGGTAATAACATTATAAAAATAAGCTAAAACTACAAATAATATGTGATTCTCCACTGTTAGATTGAGCATAACAAATGAACAAGATTCAGCATGAGACCATTGCTTGACTAATATGCTATATATTTAGTAGTTGTTTGGACTACCAAACCGTGCATCGAACATGACACTATGACCCAGGAGTATGGCACCTTAGATACTATACAACAAATACTAATTAAGTGTTTGCATTAAATGTGATACTGCAAGTAGTTGTGGAACTGAATTTTTCATCCCATCTCAGCTCTCCTTAACAACCTTTATGGACAAGCACTGCCAGAAAATCTAGAACTATATATCAGAGAGGGCAGCAGCGTGAAAGCAGTGTTTAAATCCCTTTAAGACACTAGCAATCCCGAGATTTTAAAAGACCTAAATTGCTTGGTCAGAAATTATAGTTTGCGACCTACGAAACCTAGTTCAGCCTGACTTACTAAAAGGGTAAAGAGGAGTTCATGAATTGTACAACTTTTTTGGAGGACCGAAAACACACTGGGCAAGTCCATGAGTAAACGCTGCTTTCTTCTCCATGATGTGCAATCCTTTACAAACTTCCACTCATCCACCCAGCCAAGACAAACTCAAAATAAGAAGTGGATATAAGAGTACTCATTTGCAACTCTTACACATGAATCTCACTTAAAGCTTCCCAAGGGATGTTCACAACGATGCAACGGCAATACCCATCTAATAAGAATTCACCCCGAACAGGATTGTAAAGGGCTCTGTTTATAGTAGGACCACATATATGCTTCCACCTCCAACATTTTCTCCTTTAACCCACTTCTAAACAGAAAACACCAAATGCTAGAGAGCAAGAAACTAATTAGTTTGTGTAACAAAGTGAAAATTTGTTCACTTAATTTTCAAGCTGTGTTTTGAAGTATAGAATTGTTTTTTTTTTTTTTTTTTGGATAAATGAAATTCAAAATCTGAATTAGTAATATGGAATAGAGAAAAACTTAGTGATTTATAACTTAGTTTTCTGTTTTCACATTGCCAATCAGTGATCTAACACACCAATCTAACTAAGAATAACAATTAAACAGGACAGAAATATTTGTTTTGCCATACTCATGCATATTGAAAATAATCAAATTCAGATAACCAGAAATTGAATGCTTTTACCGGTAGATAGATCAATTTTCCGTTGAATACAGGAGCGCTAAGGCGGTGGAGTTATACACCTTAAAACAATAATGGTTGTGATGCAATTGAAGAAAGACAATAGGTAAAAGGAAACAATTGAGCATTCAATATAAGATAGTGTTTGGATTGGGAACTTGGGCTCTCCTTATCTACTCATCAGTCGGTTCAGAGGGCACTTCAACTTCTCGGCCAGCGCCGGCGGAGATTTCCCGGTGATGGAAGGCGAATGTGACGAATCCGGCAATGGATTTAGATCCAGCTCTCTCTTTACAAGTTGATCTTCCTTTCACCGAACTAGGGTTTGAAGACGATGGGTGGATATCCACGGACAGGGAACATGACGATGATAGTATGCTATGAGGATAAGTTTTTATTTTTATTTCGGAGAACTCATAAGTCAATACATTAAATTTTATTAAAATGTGGGACATGTTATATATATATATATATAATATTATAAAATTTGAATTTATTTTTTATTTTTATATTATGCAGGTCCCGATCTTATCAATTGATACCTACCAGAAAATAGAATAAAATTAACGGAGACCTTAAACACTTGTTTGTTTATCAAGAGGTGATTAGCCAATCATGTAATAACTTTTCCTTGTTTGGACTCAAACAATGGTTTGAACCTATTCAAAAGAGAAAGGAAACTGTCATCTAGGCTAATGTTGTTTGGATTCCCCAATTTGATCCCTTTGGTTTATTCATGGTGGGTTTGCAGCCAAAATTTTGAAATCTATGGCAGAAAAAATTGTTATTTCTTGGCCTATGGTTTGGGCAGTGATTGGTGTGTGTAGATTTATTAGATTTTAGTCATTTTTTTGCACTCCGAATATTTAATTTAAAATTATATAATAATAATCAGGGCCGGACCTGGCCCAAGGCGACCAAGGCGGTCGCCTAGGGTCTCAGAATTTTGGGGGCCTCAAATTTTGTAGGCCCAAGTATGATGGGCTAAAAAAAAAAAAAAATTGTAACTAAATGTATCAAATCATTTAAGGGGCTCAAATTTTATAGGCCCATTAATGTTGGGTCACCAAAAAAAAAAAAAATTTATAACCAAAATGCAACAAATAAAGAACCTCAAGAATGATGTGCCACCAAAAAAAAAATTTATAACCAAACCGTAGCAATTGAAACTCGCCTCCAAATTTAGGGCCATCAAAATAGAGCAAGAATGCTGGGCCAGCCTCCAAATGCAGCAAGAATGATGGGCCATCTACTACTAGGCCTCAGATTTAAAGTTTGCTTAGGGCCTCTCAATAATTTTTCAATCATAGGGCCGGCCCTGATAACAAGTAAGGTCGAAACACTTTCAAATGAGATTTCATTATAAGATGCAAATTCAAAATATCAAGTTATGAGATCGAAGAAGAATATTTTAAAATAATTTTGTAATTTTTGAAAAAAGAAATTAATAAAACTGTTACTAAATAACTTTGATTAAGCAATGTGATAATTTTCAAGAAAAAAAATTTACTAACATAAATCTATATAAATAATTTTTTTTTTTTTTTCTTTTGTAAGAATTTTCCTCTAATAAATAAATTACTTCACGCTTCCAATTACAATTTAGAAAGATGAAGAAAAATATGGCACTAAAAACAAACTTCTTGTTGAAATATAAGAAAACATTGATATATCTTTGTTAAAAAAGTAAATAGAGGTTCTCCAAATTACCATTATTTGGCAAATAGGAAGAATCCTCCTCCTGTTTTGTTTGCACATAAAATTTGGAAAAAAATAATACTCCCCTGATACTCTCATGAGAACAATTTATACAAGAATAAAATGAATTCACTTACATTTTAGCCTTAGTTATTCCATCACTCCCCAGATAGAGATGTTTACACTAGTATATTAATAAGAAAATAACACATAAAAATAAAATAACTTTTCATTAAATGAGAAGAATTGCAAGAAAATAACAAACTCTCTCCAACTCTATTATGTTCTTCACCACTACTCCTCTCTACCCTTCCCCACTTTGAAGAGTCCCTATTTATATAGTGTAGAAGAGAAAAGTTAGGAGGGAAAAAAAAATTTAAAATTAAATTACACGAGGGAAAGTGGAAAAAATCAAAAAATTATTTAAACTTGCTGATTTTAATTTGAATTGATATTTGTTGTTAATTTGATGAAGCGCGTATAAATAAAGTAAAACATTTGTGTTCTGCAATCAAGTCTTGAACACAAAACCTCTTAAAAGTTGGTTATACACTAGATCATCTCTCCTACAATGCTGTTAGTGTTTTTTCTTTTTTAGTTAAAGAATAAGCTTGTATATAAAGATGAAAGAATGTACATTGTGTCCCAAATAGAGAAAAAAGAAAACTTCAAGCAGCTAGTGTTTTTCTTCATCCTCTCTACAGTCATAAATTCTTTCCTTTTTTTTTTTTTAATCTCATTACGAAATTGAAACATGGATTAAAATACTTAAGTAATATGAAAAATTAATTAAATATTTATTTTTGAGAATAACAAGTTTTGTGTCAGGTGATTAAGGACTTTGCTGTGAGGAAATTAAGGGATAGTGTTTTGTGAATTCTTTAAGAGTTCAAACCGCCCACTCTAATAATTATCAAAATTTGTGTATAGAAAATACAAATAACGGAAAATTTAATATCAAAGGAGGAGTTTTATTTTATTTTTTTTCTGAATTTTGATTATTGGACAAGGGTTTTTACTGAATTTTAAAAATTTTATTGGACAAATGATTTGAAAAATGAGGAATCTTAATTTTGATATTTGCAAGTTTTTATTAAAGTTGTTGGCCTTGAATCTAAGGCTTTTAATGATTATAATTCATTAATGATATTCTATGCGTATTAATATCTACCTTGAGTTAAATCACAGCTCTTAGCATCCATCAAGGCATATCATGAAAAGCATAGATGAAAAGTTGCACCACAACACAGAATGATCATAAAGGAAATACTAAAGACATCAAGTCTCAATCGGAAGCTATGAAGATCATCCAAGCAATCAAACAATCATGCAAATACTAATGAAAAAGGGGTAGCTAAGGTGGTGATCGAGAGAATAGGAAACTTTGTCAAAATATGTATGAACCTTTTGAAGTTCATATCTAGGGTCATATATTAATTACTGACATGATAATCAAGAAACATAAAGAATAGACATCATCTATAACTTAGAAAAAGTTTCTTAAAGGTGAAGTTCTATTTTAGCCAACCGAAATGGAGAGGCAATCTGAATCGGCCAACCGACTTAGGCAGTAGCTAAGCTAAATCTAAAATCACAACCGGTTGACCGAAATGCCATTTTGGATGACCGAAGTATAGCTATGCAACAAGACCTCAAGCTATTTCGGATGATCGAAATAGAAAGACAAAATGAACCGGACGACCGGTTTAGGCAGTAGCTATGCAACAATGCCTCAGGTTATTTCGGACGACCGAAATAAAAAGCCTATTCTTTTCGGCCGACCAAAATAAAATGGTCCAAAGGCATCCTGTCATTTTGGACGACTGAAACAAACTGCTGATTCATTTCGGTCGATCGACTCCGCACAGATTCAAATTTGAACGGCTATTTTATCTCGAACTGTGTGCCCAACAGCTAGAATACACATCAGATACACCTAAAACTCTATATATTGAGTTATTGTCTTCATAAAAAGAAATTGCAACAACCGAGAATAATATCATAGCAATCATAGAGTCTTTGTCTTATCATTCACACACTTCATATCTTTAAAGAGTATTGAGCTTCAATCTATTCATACATATTCTAGAGTGAGCTGAATTTGTACTACAAATCTGTGAGAGATTATCTTGTACTTCAATTCTCTTCTTCAAACTTTGTAAGGCTGGTGTGGCCCAAGGAAATCTAAGAGAAGGTGGTTCTTTTAGCATTTTGAAGCAATGAGGTGTTTTTTGTAAAATGTTTACTCTCCACCCATAAGAAAGAGTCATAGTGGATTAGGATGTCTCAAAAGAGGTCTTGAGCCGAGAAGTAGGAGTTTTCAAACCTCGCTAAAATCGTTGAGTACTTGTTTGTAATCTTTCTCTCTTTATCTTCTATATTTATTGCTTAAAGTTCAGCATGAATAATCACTTGATAAAATGATATTTGTATTGCTTAAAACATTGTTTGCTTCACTGAACAATTGCTGAGATAATTAGCTTATTAATTACTTGCATTCTGAATTTAAATAAAAAATTGACCATTATTGGCCAGACTCTATTCAAACCCCCCCCCCCCCTAAGAGTCATTACTTGGGCAACAAAAGTCTTTAATGAATATAATTAAAAATTCAGCCCATTTAAATTATACCAATTGTTCTCTCTTAGCCTAATTTATTTCCAGTTTTGTAGTGCGAGATTTGTTTACGTTATACTAATTGTTCTCTCAAAGGAGGAATGTTAATTTTTTAGTACGTACTAATCGTAGGAAGTTTTTATAGTTCCAGTTGTCTCCCCTCTCAGTCCTCCATATATACACACATACTGACATACATGGTTAAAATTTTGATTATAGGTATATTGATCCTATTAGCCATGTCAACATGATGACCAGGTGGACTTGGACTGTGAAATAATTTCTCGCTACTGGAGGATGAGAGAGTAATTTTCCCAGCTCACATATACCTCAATTACTGTGCAGGTTGGCTAAAAAATTTTGGGTGTAGGTTGAAGGATTGCATTTACACCTCTTTTAGACATGCAATAGTTTTGTCCAAATTTTGCCAGCAGATTGCTTGTACACCTCTTTCATTTCCAGTTGCTGCAATGAAAGAAGTCGCTGGCTAAAAGGTTGAAAACCCTAATCAAGTACTTGCACTTAATATGATAATGTGCATTATTGAAGGAGCCATAAAAAAGGATGGCAACGGAGTGAGTTTGGGGCGAGGGGCTCCTCTCCTGAAGTTCAAATTCTATAATCTTTAATTTTTAAACTAATTTATTAGACAAATTTGTGTCAAGAAATGTTAATACTAACTAACCATCTTATTTTAAGGATAACTTGTATTAACTTTTAACCCTCAATTTAAAATTTTAAATACCACTTGGTGATGTTGGAAAACAAGAATATCTCATTTATGTTTTGCCCTTCTGCTCTTTGCTCCTGGTGACCTCTGTTCCATTCAAACTCTTAGAGCAGCTCATAACCAATTTTTTGCTATATCAGGTCTATCTGATTTTCATGACTTTGGTTAATTAATAAGATAGCTAAGGGAGTTAAGAGCTGGACTAGCAAAATGTCTTCTCCTATGTCGGTAGAGTGCAACTTATTAAAAACTATTGCTCTTTAACATTCAAAATTTCCTGTCCAACGGATCTATTATTTCCAAGAAAGACATTGATCTCTATCAATCAGACCGGTCCTCAGATATATTCTTATGGACTGGGACTGATATGAAAAACACTAG